AAGAGGGGCCTCTGCTTCTCCCTACGTAACTCAGTGTCCATTTCTGCTGGATCCTACAGGCATTTCCCACCCCATCCCACACTTTGGGAAACTTTGCTTTAGATCTGAGAAGAGATCTGAGCTCCAGAGAACTAGGCTAAAACCCAAGGATGGAAACTGGCAAAGACGAATGAACAGTCAGCATAAGCCTACCATCTTAGCCAGTGAGGGTAAGAGGCAACCTTCAAAGACAATGAGAGGGTATACATGGGTGTTGGGGGGATGCTGGACAAAGGGTACACAGTTTCCATCAGAGGGGATCAGATCAGATTTGCAGGTCTATCACATAGCATGGTGACTATAGTTAATAATGATGTAATGTGTACTTAAAAATTGCTAGAGACTAACTCTGACATGCTCTCACAACTGTCTGAGAGGATAGATATGTTAATTAGCTTGATGTCGCCTTTTCACACACACACACACACACACACACATATATATATATATACAAACATCACATCGTTTGCAGTAAATACATACAATTTTTATCAGATATTCACTAATAAAATTTAAAAATAATGATGATAGTCTGAAATAGGCAAATCCATCGAGACAGAAAGTAGTAGCTTAATGGCTGTCAGGGGGCTGGCTAGGAAGGGGCATGACCTCTGGTGAGTGTGGGTTTCTTTTTTGGGGTGAGGAAATGTTCTGGAAGTAGAAGGTGGTCATGGTTGCATAACCTATCTTGAGATGATACTAAAAAAATCAGTGAATTGTATACATTAAAATGGTAATTTTTATAGGAGGTGAGTTATATCTCAATTAAAAAGTATTGAAAGCCCTTCATTACTGAAGGTGCTTGTGCCAAGATTTAGTAGGTAACTTATTCACCAGAGGCTTCTTGTAGGCCACAGGACTCTTGGATTGACGGCTTCTCAGACGTCACTAGACATCTCTTTATATTCCATGGCATACCGGTTCCTCTGGTTCTTGGCCTGTGAGCCTCTCCCCCGTGACCCACAGTGCCTAAGAGCACAGGGTCACTTGCTTAAGGTGGAGTCCTGGCCACGCTCCTTCCTAACTGTGTGGCCTCATGAAAAGCATGGATCTGCCTCAGCCTTCTCCTCTGGAAAGTGGCAATAAGAACAGCAGCTCTCCTTGGGGTTCCCCAGGAAGTGGTGTCGCCCCAGATGTGGATCTGCTGGGATGGTGGTGGTCCACAGCACCCATGACTCTGAGTTGTTCCTTTCTGCTCATTCACTTGGTTTCCTGGGGAGAACCCACTGTCCTAGAGACCTGTACTGCTTCTCAGGTTGACTTTCAAACCACTGTCTCAGATCCTTTCCTAACTCCTGAACTTTTCTCACACCTTGACTTGGCATCTTTCCTAAGTACATCAGATTCAGCCCTTATGAAATAGAATTCATCGTCTCTCTTCCTGACCTGAGTCCTCTGTTTTCAGAGCTGTACACACTGAACAGAATGCCAGCCCCTGTGCTAACGCGGTACTTTTTATGGGTTGCTGCATTTTGTTCCCATGGCAATTGTATAGGCTATTATTTTTCCTCTTTGAAATATGAAGAAATGGAGGCTCCAAGAGGTTTTTTATAACTTTCCCAAGACCACTTAAGTAGAAAGAGGTGGTCCAAGGACTTGAACTCGGGTCCATCCAGCTCAAAACGCACACTGCCTACTGTCGCCAGCTTTACGCAGCCCTCCAAAGTAAAAACATCAATTTTCTTTACATTCTCCCACTTTACCACCACCACATATAATGTGTCACCAGCCTTTTAATTCTACTCTGAAAGATTTTTCTTAAATCTTTTTTGGGCTCTGATTCCAGAGCCACTTTCTCATTGTGCTGGTTAGGGTCAATTGTACGCGAGTCCCACTAGTTACCCCTCATCCTGTCTTCACGCCGTGATACGGAGAAGGTAACTGAAAATCTATATCTGATGAATGTCAACCTGCTTAAGATCCTTCAAAATTACCCTCGATTAGTTAGGTAAATTCCAGTCCTCAGAGTGCACAGCAGGTCCTCCACCACCCAGTCTCTCTTTCCACGTTCATTCTGTGTTCCTGCCTTTCTTTTCTCCTCTTCCTGCAGGTACCTCTTTGTTGTTGTGAGGGGGAAAAAATGTATTTGACTTAAATTAATCCTTTGTTCATATTATGGAATTGTTTCTTCATTTAATAAGCACTTGTTTTATTTTTAAAATGTATTAGATATTACACACAATCACATAAGTGGGTGTAAAATCTGGTGGAATCTTCATGTATCATGTCAATGACAATTTCCTGGTTTTAATAATATTCTATAGTTGTACAAATTGTTACCAGTGGGTGAAACTTGATGAATGGTACACAGGCACCCTCTGTACTGGTTTTTTTTTTTTGCAATTTTGTATGCACTTATAATTACTGTAAATTTAAAAATTTTAAAAAGATTATGTAACTTTTGCTTTATGTCCAGGAACCAGTTTGAGAAAATTAGTAGACATACAATGACAGTGCACTTAAATTATTTGCGACTGTATTATATGACTAAACTTGCTTGTTCTTTGAACCTGGGCTATGAGATACATGCTGGATTTGACCTTGAAAAGGAGGGTAAAACCCTTCTTGGCAAAGAGCAAAGGCAGACCTTGATTGAATTCCAGCTCTGATGTTTATAAGTTAAATGAACATGGGCAGGTTACTTAACCCTGAGCCTCAGTTTCATCCTAATTATAATAAATATGATAATGTGACCTACTTCTTAAGGGACTGGGGGATATTTAAACAAGATAGTGGACGTAAACAAGGTTAATACATTTAAGCAAGACAGACTGTAAAATGCTCAGCCTATAACAACCCCTTGATATCTCTTTTCCTCTCACAGCCCACATGGGGAAAATCCAAATGACTCTGCCTTTGAAATGTGTCCAGAATCCCAGTCCTTCTCACCCTCCTCTGCAATCATCTTAGTTCCAGCTGCCTCTTCCCCATTGGAAATCACTCCAAACCCCACCAGATTCGGTGTCTGTCTCTCACATTTGACATCTAATCTGAACCGGGCAGCCAGAGTTTTCTTGTCAGAATGTAACTTGAATCATGCTATTTCTTGATCAAAATCCCCAGTGGCATCCCAGCTTGCTTGGCACAGAAGGCCCAGCCTTGGACATGGCCCCTTGGCTCTCCTTCCTTCCCCACTTACACTGGGACACACACACCTCCCTCCACTCCCCCATCCAGTAAGCAGCTTCCTGGCCAAGAGCTTCTGCACTCACTCTTGCCTCACCTGGATGCCTCCTCCCCAGATGCCTACCCAGAGGCTTTGCTTCTGCTCAAAGTCCTACTGAAGGAGGCCTTCCCTGGCCACCTTATTTCAGCCTGCAATCCCCATCACCTCACCCTGAGTTGTTCTTCATTCCACTCATATTCTTAACATGCTATATAATTTACTTATTGTCCATCTCTCCCCAACACACACACACACACACACACACACACACACACACACACACAAGCAAGTTCCATGAGAATAAGTAATTTTGTCTGTTTCTGTCGCCACTCTGTCTAAGCAAGCCCACGTGTCTCCTAACACTTGCTAGGATGCTGCCTGCTCTGAGATCCTCCAGGCTCCTCCTGCCACATGGCTGGCCTTCAATGAAATCTCCCAAATGAATGAAGGAATGGATTCTGGTAGAGTAAGCAACCTGAGAACAGTGACAGGAAGACTGTGGTCCATTGAGAAACTCAGGGCAGATGAGAGTGGTCTGAGTGGAATGCTTGGAAGAAAAGAAGATGAAGTTGAAGTCAGGACAGTGGCAGGGCATGGGAGAAGTGCAACTGTAGAGGCCCCATGCCCAGAGGGCTTCACCCTTGGTTTAACACTCTGCTGTCCACATTTGAAACTCCTGAACCTTTTTTTTAATGAGATGCCCTGAATTTTATTTTGCACTGAATCCTGCACAATTAATCCATTTCTGGTTGGGAAATATGAAAAATTGAAAGAAATTGTATATTAAGAAGGAATAGCAAGGCCACATACTTGTCTTGGGAAGCCCATCCTCTCAGCAATTTGGAGGATGGAACGGGGAAGCTAGAAATATCCTTCTAGTTCATCTCCACCAAGCGAGCCCACATATCTCCTAACACCTTCTAGGATGCTGCCTGCTCTGAGATCCTCCAGGCTCCTCCAGGCAGAGATAATATTGCTTTCCCTGGCTCACCGCCGGGCATTCTCTCTGCACATGGCTCATGCCTCTGCTACAGTGCTGAAGGTGTCATACTGCAATTATTTGCAAACACACTTACCTCCCTATCTTCAACCAGGAGTTTACCAAGATTAGAGTCATGTCTTATTCAACTTTGAGGAATATGTGCTTAGTATGACTGCCAACAGAGCAGGTAATCAGTCAGGAAGTTTGAAAAAATGAGTGAATAAATAAGAAAATATGCTTTGGCATTACATCATTGTGGTTATACATGTTTGCATGTATGCACACATAAGCACATATTTATGTATATTTTTATTATGCAATATATGCAATTTATGTTATATGAGATGTTATCTATTTCAAGAGAAATATATATGCACATATATGTATGTATCTTGTTTTTCAAAGAAGAAATTGAGATGCAGCAAAGTAATTATCCCAATGTGTCCAGACTAGGACTTGAACCCTGAATCCAGTACACCTTCTCTAATAGAGGTCTTTTAAATCTGACTCCAGTATCATTTCTCCACCAGTATCCCATACAGGAAAAGATGCTTCAGGGAAGTGAGAGTATTTCCTGAGCATTATCAACTTACTATTCTACACATTAACATCAGGGTGTTCTGTGCCACAGGGACACCTACACATTTCCATCATATAAGTCCTGTGGAGAGAATTTGGGTAAATTTTTAATGTGGTCCATCCTCTTTATCAAATTCACTCTCACCTTTGGATCTGACTTTGGTCCTGGACCACATGGCTGCCACTACCAATTTGGATGACGCCTCATTCTGGAAAGTAATACTCAAAACTCACCATTCTCGCTGCTGTGGTATGAATCCAGCCTCCTGGCACCCTCCAGCCAGATGTCCTCATGGGGGGAAGTATCAGAATCACCCAAGACACTTCCACACAGCCAGGATTGGGAGGCACTGAGGCTGAAGAGAGAAGGAAGGGAGCGGCGGACTCTCTTCTTCCTCCTGAATATTCTGGGAGGAAACGAAAGTGGCCTGGTAAACTGTGAACAGCAGTCACTGCAGGTGTGAAACAGTGCCCCATGTCTAGAGCACGAGTCTGGTCACTCCATTAATTCCACAGAAGTTAATTAAAATTCTACCATGTGCCAAGTCCTTGGATCAATGTCAAGGATATGAGCTAAAGACTAAACCATGTGTACACAAAGGTCACAGTCTACTCTAAGAGAAAGACAAACAATGCAGGTCTAGCTGGTGCTTTCCTAGAATCTGTTGTGTCCAGGTGGGTTTCTCAGTCTTTACCTGGATATTCAGGTTACCTTCAAGCAACCCTATGAGGGGGGCGCTATGATTACTCCATTTTTGCATTAAGGAAACTGAGTCCTAAAGAGGTTAAGTTACCCGACTGAGGTCATCCAGCTATCAAGTGGACAGCCTGGCTTCCAGTCTAGTCTAGATCACCAAAAAATTAGGGGGTATGTGCTTGTAAGTAGGGGGTATATGCCTCTCCAGAGGCAGGCTGGGGAGCATGGGGAAAGGCATCGCTCACTGAGAATTGAAGGAGGCTTTGTGGAGTGAGTTCCAAGTTGCAAGAGCCTGCCCTGCTCACTGATGGACAAGTGGGTCTCATTAGGTCACGCTAGGAATTGTGGCTGGAAAGGTAAACATGGGCAGATAGTGAAGAACCTTGTCTATTTGGGGAATGAGGCAAGATTTAATGTTAATGCAAAAGGAGACCAACCTCAGGAGCATGTCAAGGGAGAGTAAAGTGTGGTGACCTGCTTGGGTTTGCATTTCCAAAAGATTCTTGGCCACAGAGAATGACTCAAAGGGGCCAGACCAAGGACAGAAAGGATATTCAAAATATACAGCAACACAAGGTGGTTTCAGCCAAGCTGGGATGTGCTGAGCCTGCATTATGCACACCCTGGAGAAGATAATCAGGGCCTGAAGCAAAGCCCAGAGGGGCAAAGAGGAAACGGGACACTTTTCCCATTACAGCAAGCCTCCCTGCCATGGGCATCTCTAGCTGCCATCAAGGTGTCTTTAGAACTGAGTGCGCTCTCATATTCGCATGGATTGCAGCAGGCCTTGAGCATTGTTTTTCTTGTTGGTTCCCCACGAGGGTGACCTCAGTCCTAGGGAACCTTGGCAGGAATGAGGCCTTGGATGAGAAACTCGTTTTTGGGCTCACTCTCTCTGTCATCAATTTCAAGTAACAGCAAGTTAAGAAAAATGATAGAGTTCATGATCATGAATAACTACCTTGTGAAAATGAATCAAATTTGAAAGTTTCTTGCAGGTTCTAAAATGAGATCATCTTAAGTTGATTAAGCAGTAATTAGAAAATTTCTATGTACTCATATATTGATTAATTCACCCAGCAAGTCTTCATTAAGCACCTATTATTGGGATGAGCACCTATCAAATTTGAGAACAAAATGTATGGATAAAACATCATCTGTAAGGTCAAGAATATCTCTACAATAGGATCAAGTTAAAAGTGGTGGTCAGAAACTTGTTCTCTCAGGTCAGAGAACCTGTTTTGGAATCCTGGTTCCATTTACTAGCTCTGCAAGCTTGGGGAAGTTACTTACTTGGACTTATGTTTCCCGTGTATTCATGGAAATGGTGATACTAGAATCCAAGTCAGAGTAGAGCAGGAGTTGGAATCAAATGAGAGTGTACTTAAATGGTTGAGATAGTATCTAGCGTACAGCAAATAAGAAATGATATTGGCTTTTCATTTATTTAACAAACATTGGTAGTTATGATTAAGGTAAATTGGGAGAAAAAGAAATGAGGTAAAATTCTCCTGAAGGAGGTCCCTGGGCCATGTCAGAAAGCCACTGTGCAGCAGCCTGGAGAGGTCCTGGAAGGTGGGTAATCCCAGACAGTCAGAGTGCTATGACCAACTGCATAGACCTAAGCAAGAAGGGATGGTGGTCTGTAGAAAGACAGTGGCCATAAGGATGAAGAGGAGGAGAGCGACTCTAAGTAGCCTTGGGCAGTCAACTCATCTGCCTTAGCCACTGTAGCAGAAGCAATAAACTTTCTACGTAACTATTCTGCTCTTCTTCCTGGGTACACACTAGGCTATATTTCCCTGATCTCTTGCCACCAGGTGCAGCCATGAGCCACAGGGTCTTCCAGTGGAGTGTAAGCAGAAACTCAGCCCAACTACAAAAAGTGGACTAGCTGTTGTGTATCACTAGGATTTTGTCACTGTTCTGATATGGGAGTTCCAGAAAAGGACGGGCTCTTTCAGGAAGTGAACTCTGGCTTTGTCAGCTGGATGTGAAACGGGACCAATCACCCAAAGCAGAAATAAAGGAAGGGTGTGTTTGGAGGGAAGAAGATAAATGGATTCACTCTGGATCAGTGACACAGGATTGTTGAGTCAATAGCTGAGTGATGCAGTCAGCATGTGGGTGGTTTTGCAGCAAAAGAAAATAGACCTGATTGCCCAAATTCCCTGATCCAAAGGGAATCCATTTGTCTTCTTTCCTCTAAATACACCTTTCTTTGATTTCTGCTTTGGGTGACTGGTGCCAGTTGACAATGCCAGGGTCCCACAGTTCATCAAAGTGCCCTTCCTTTTCTGAACTCCCACCTGAAAAGCATCCGGACCGTGCCCCTTTGCCATCCTGTCTATGTGCCTCCCTCCCTCTTATCCTAGTCCCATGTCCTCTCAGTCTGTGGTACCCTGCCTTCAGTTTTTTCTCTTCTACTCGCTTTCCACTTGGATTCCCGCCAGTCCATCCTCTGAACAGCAATCACTGCTGTCCTTCTGAGAACTAATCAGACAGTTGGTCAGTGGCTCTTCCTGATGTAGGGACTGGAGCCCACATGCCTGAGCCTGGTGGGGACCCCACCTTGGTGCTCAGCCTGCTTTCCCACAGACACTCCTTCCCTTCCCACCATAGCTGGACCCTCCTGAGCTACCTGCACTGCCCGACGCGTATTGGTTTCTCAGAATCCCACATCTGTGCTCTCTTCCCTTGCCTACACCACCTAATACCTCACATCTCTAACACTCCAGTCCCCCGTCACCAGCTCTAGAATGCCTGTTTTTAACCTGTACCCAGGTAAACTGGCCTCCTGCTCTTTCCTTCCACCACCCCCACACAGATTCCTACCCGGCACCTGGATCACTTCACTTCACTTTTGCTCGTTTTCAAGTCAGCCATCATTGTCCCTTCCTAGCCGTTGGTCCCCACAATCTGGAGCACGAATGAGCTCCTTAAGGATGGCCACTGAGTGGGTGAGGGAATGAGCCCTCTGAGGCTGGAGGGGACTTGAGCCCCCCCTTAGGTAACAGCCTCCACTTACCTGACCAGGTTCTCCTTGTACATGACGGTGGTCTGGGAAGGGTTCAGAGTTATGTTGCCATCTTCGTCACAGAGGAAGCTGTCCTCCGTCCACACATAGTAGCCATTGGTGAGGAGTCTGGGGCTGCGGCGACAGGTGTAATGGGAGCCTGTCAAGGGGTCGATGGAGCAGCATTCAAAGGGACTCCCACCGTCCAGGAAGTCGAAGGCCAGGCTGGAGAGGGAGCACAGAGGGTCTGTGAGGGCGCCGTGCTGCAGCCACACAGCCGCAGTGCCCAGCTCCCGGGAAGAAAGGGGACCGCTTCCCATTTGCTCTATTGGTTACTTCCTGGACCCTCACGCTGTCACTCTGGCCTTTTGGGATTTAGCGTTGAACCACACAACGTGTAGTGCCTCTTTCTATTTTAAACTTCTGTGAAAACGATGTGGCTAAGCAGCATCTTCCCCACATGATGAGCCTTCACTCTTGACATGAGTCCATTTTCTTGGGTGGAAAAATTACAAAACAGCCTTTCTGGGATGTTGGAAACCGATAATTCCCTTCGCCCCCCCTTATCTTGAGTGCCATCTGCCACATCCTTACTCTTCTCACTATAACTGAGAAATTATAACGTCTCTTTTCCTTCCATCTTCCACCTAACAGCCACTCCGCTTCAGGAAGACACATTCTGTGTCCTGCATGGGTTCTCTGTTTTCCACACTAAAACTTTTCCAGTTCATTTAGCTTGACTTTATATGATACAATGTGGTTTTGATCTCTTTGCGATCATATTTTGACTGCTATTCTCTATTTTTCAGCTTTTAAATCATCTTTTCATGTATTGTGCCCAGCATGGAACCCAGCCTTTTAAATGTGACTGTCTAGAGAAAATTGGGACTCTCATCTCCCTCATTATAGAATCATGTCTTTAATGATGAAGCCCAAATCATGTTAGCCTGATTCTTTTCTTTATTTTTCTATAGTCACCACCAACTTATCATCATACAACTGAATCGATTATCAATTTCCAGACTTTCTCCCATATACTTAATCACAATCCCCCACCCGGCATTAGGATAAATTACCCTTTAGGATCAATCACCCAATTACCTTAGAAAGTCAATATATAATAAAGACAAATAACAAAAGTCTTTTATAGAGATAAAGGTGGGTTTACAATTGAGATTGAATCCTGATTCTGCCACTTGCTAATTATTTATACACCCTAAGATTTAGCTTTCTGTAAATGCAAACCTATATAACAAGCTTTACCCAAAGCCAACCTTGTAGAGTTGCTATGAAGATAAAATATCATCATGTCATCATTACATGGAAGGTTAACACCTCTATCTTCCATCGTCCAGGTGCTATGAACTAAATCTATTGCCTAGTATTTGAACGACCCAAGTTTTGTGCTTTTGGAATTTGGGAGGACTCGGATTATACCATGACATTTTTAATGTATTTACATAATGTTGTTCAAAACTGTTATCCCTAGAATTAATATGTCCTTAATTCGAACCTGTGATGAAAATTTTGAACAGTACAGGTAGAGATGCTTGGGAATCAACAGGAGAGTCTACTTTGCAGATATGCACTGACTCACCTCATTTTTGGTTATTGTTCCCTTTCTTAATAGTTTAGAAAATGGAGACTCCAGTAGGATAGTTAATTGTTCAAGATCTTAAGACTTGTAATTGGAAGAGGCAAGATAAGAATCTACATCTTTTGTCTCCTACCTTGTGATTTTTTCCTCTATACCATTTTGCCTCCTCAAGAATTAATCTGGAACACACCTGAAATCCCAGTTTCTTGGGAGATTGAGGCAGATGGATTCCAAGTTTGAGGCTAGCCTGGGCAACTTAATGAGACCTTGTCTCAAAGTTAATTTTCCTTTTTAAAAGGGCTGGGAATGTTGCTCTATGGTAGAGCACTTGCATAGCATGGGTAAGATCCTGGGTTCAATTGCCTAACCACACACAAACAAACAAACAAAAATCAACGGGGTGACTCTAATGCACTGGACATGTAGGAGATACAGACTTCCAGACCTGCATTTCCATGAGCCCTCTAACTCCCAAGGTTTCAACCTTGAATGTGGGTCAACAGCAGTCTCTTGCACCCCAGGTGTCTCCCCTTTCTACTCCTCTTGACTTTGTCTCCTCTGTCTTGATTGTAGACAAAATAGAGATGTTTTTCCAGACACCCACACTATAGTAAGAAAGAGCTGCTTCCCCCAACACTTTGAGGTGTAGCACAATTGCCTCTAGATCTTGATGTAACTCTTCAATTCTGCTGTAATAATTGCAAAAGCTGAGTTTTCCTAGAAGGTCCCTTCGAGCTGGTTTCAGAACTCCAATCTCACACAAAGCCAACAACTAACTCAACTGCCCAAAGACCAAGTCTTGTCTTGCTTTGAGAAGTGACTGACCAGGCTTTGGAAGAGCCTGGAGCTCAGCTTCTAGGGTATCACAAAGATTGACTGGCATTGGTGAAGGGACAAACACTGCTAGGGTCTTAAAAAAAAAAAACAGTACAGTATACAATTAATCCCACATCAATGGAGCACTAATGAGCTCCTTAAGGATGGCCACTGAGTGGGTGAGGGAACAAGCCCTCTGAGGCTGGAGGGGACTTGAGCACACCCTTCTTCAATAAATCTCCCTCATGCTCCACTGAATCCCTTTTGTTTTCAATTTAAAAGCCTATCCATGATTAATATATGCACCCAAGTTCTTAAGGAAATGCTGTTTTAATAGGTATTATTTATTGGAACTTATCATGGGTCTGGACCCACATTTTCTTGTCTGCTCTTCATTAATCTCTCTAAATATAAGTATCACTGTTCACAACCTTGTACAGCAGGGAAAAAATGAGATGCAGAAGGGCAAATTACTTGGATATTTTCCACAGCTTGTATGTGGCAGAGCTATGATGTGGGTGGACCTGGTTGATCTGACTCTAAAGCATGTGTTCTGTCCACAGTCCTGTTCATTCAACCAGAGCTGACTCTTTTGGTAGCTCAGGAACCCTAGAATTGATTTACTGGAAGGGGCAAGTTCTAATATCAGTGTCTGACCCCTTTATGGGCTCATTTCATAAAATGCATGGGAAAGTTAAACTTCCGAGGGTCCGGAAAAAAGAAAGGAAGGAAGGAAGGAGGGAGGGAAGGAAGGAAAGAAGAGTCTGTGTACTACTTGAACACGATGGTAGCATCTACTTGTGTGAGTGAAGTGTGAAACTTAGGCAGCTTATGCATTGGTGTAAAATAATATGGCTTTATAACATGAGCTAGGAAGACATATTTAAGAAACCATTACGGATGTATAATACGTCAAAATACACTCTACTGTCATGTATATCTAAAAAAAAATAAATAAATAAAAAGAGAGAAAACATTGATGTGAGAAAAAGTGACCATTCATCAGTATTCACTATAGCTTCTCCACTCAAGAAAGAAGCAATTTATATCTGCCTACACATTCACACTAAAAAAAAAAAAAAATCAAAAATAAAATCTGTCCTCAGATTAGTTTTTGTTTTGTTTGTGCTTGAAAATATATAACCACATCAAAACCAGATGATCGCTCAAATGATATTTTCAAATCAGGACAAAATAAGACATACAGGAAGGGAATTTGATTTGATGGTGAAAAGCTCGGCGGCATACCTTGGGAAAATACACGAGGGAGCCAGCTCTCCAATACATTCTCTGTTGGACCTGGTGGAGCCTGCAATGCAAATGGGAGACGAATTCATGGCACCTCACCAAGACACAGGATCCTGACAATGGTGGCAATGAGATGGTTGGTGTCTCAGCCTAAGCAAGAAGACTTCAGCTAGCCCAGCCTTGCTACCAATCAGCCCAACACAACTTGTCACCAGGCCCCCATGGGAAGAAAGAAAGGGTGTTGGGGCTTCCAGTTTCTGTCCCTTCTTACAGCAGTGCTTTAGAGGTTCCTCAGTGTAAGATGAGGCAATAATAAGTCCTTGGCATCAAAATGAGCTTGTGAAAGGAAGGAAGAAAGCATCGAGTAGGGAAGAGACCAACGTCAACTGCCCAAAGACTTAGTTACTGTAGTTTACTCAGTAATCTGAGAAATTCAGTTATCAGCCCCAATTCTCCCTCCTTAGTACATTTTAAGAAAGTTCTGTAAAGTTGTGAGCAGAACACATTAGTGGGGTGAGGAGAAAGAAAAAATAAAGGTGTTTCATTTGTTTTGTTTTTAAATATGCAATGTTCCAATGTTGGAAGCCTATGAGTATTCCTCATTAAAAAAAAAAGTCACCTATTCATTGAGTCCAGCTTAACAGTGGGCCTGGCAACTTCCCCTGGGGAGAATTGCTACAGATTAATATTCTAAACTCCAAAACAGCATTTAATACTGTGCAGAGATATGTCAATACTTATAACAGACAGGCTCCAAGAGACTGGATTCCATGACTGACAATCACCAAGACAAAGAAAGGAATTTAGACTTTCAGATTGGGCTGGTTGATTTGTCAGGAGAAAATCATGGGTGTGTGAGGGAGGGTTAGAATTGAGGTTTGGGGAGAAAATAACAAGAGGAAGGAAGAAACTTGAAACCACTACCCTTTTAACAACGCCCTTATTTTCTGCAAGTAGCTATCAAAATCATTCAGCATTTTTTATAGACAGTTTTGCATCTTAATAGTAGCTGATAAACAATCTCCTTTCACATTTATGCACAGGCATCTAAAAAAGTAGTGAATTTTTTTCTACGAAAAAAAATACCACATTTCTCTCAAGGAAAGAAATGAAGTCAAAATCATCACAGTGGCGCACACTGGCATTTAAGAAGCTAAGCTACTGACAGATGGTTAATGGTCTAAGTATCAGCAAAATCAAAGCAAGGAAATTGCTAAAAGGCGTCTAATCGTTCAAAAGATAATTGCGTATAGCAGTTCTCCTACATTTACTTGCTACTGGTGTTGACATCAGTTGAGATATTCGGTACATCTTGGGAAGGCCGCTTGTTCAAACTTCACAGATTTTCTGCAAAAGATGTTTAAAAAAAAAAAAGCAAAAGATGGACTATATATCAAAAATAGAAAAATGATGCCAAAACAGATGGCATCTACTAATTGCACTAGTCAGATTTGTTTACTGAAATAGTACAGAGATATAGGATTGAAGGCAGGAGACCAGATTGTGGGGTTTCTGTAAGGTTGTATCTGCCTCAGTGATTTTGTGTTCTATCTTCCATTGTCTTGGGACACTGAATCATCTTTTTCTTTAAATAAGGATAACGTTTTACTTGGGAAAGCCAGACTTACAAAGGTTGATTTGTCATCCAAATATAATAAAGAAAGTGAGTTATTTAACCAGGAAGTCTGAAAAATGACTGCTTCCAGAAAACTCCAAATAAACTGATTCGTATTTAAACCATCCAGCGCAAATCAACTTTATTATCAAGTTTCCAGCTGTGCTTGGGGATGGATGGTGTCTGTCTTTTGCCCAAACAACTTGAGCCACTGACAGGTAGTCACAGAGGGTCAGGGCTTTCTTTGTAGTTATTATCAGTCTGATATCAGGCTGGACATTCCTAAATAGCATAAGCATCATTGCACTAAAAATAGCATAACACTGGGAAGATTTCAGAACTCAGCTCCTGTGAGCATTTAATTTACTTTGTTGGTTACCAATTCAGCACATATAAAAGTGTATAAATTATATAATCTTTGATCACTTACCTCTCATCAAATAGATCTACCTGCTATTGACTACTGAAATGTGTAAATATCAATCTACTCAAGCTTTGTGAAGTAGGACTATGTTTCTGAGTCACCGCCTCTGTCCAAGTTATCGAAGTGCAAAGGATTGTTTTTGTGGTTTTAACACAATAATTCATCAGGTGATTCTCAAGCTCCATGCTTATTGTTTTAATAAATTACATAAAAACCTTGTTAGGAATTATAGAACTCAGCTTATAGTAAGTACCCTTTATGGATGTTAAATGAACTTGCTAGCATTCCTTGGACAAAAATCTCTAAATCTAAAAAACGCACATTGGTAAATTTCACTTGTTAGTAATAAAAAAAATATTGTTTACAATCTAATACATTAGTATATCATTTGTCATTTTCATTTTTGATCAACATAATATCAATTTGTCCAACATAGATTACCCTATATTGCCCAATGCTAGTATTTTTCAAGCACTAGGTGTTGTTTATTTTTTTCCCCCTTGTACTGGGAGTTGAACCCAGGGCTCACACTGAGCTGTGTCCCCAGCCCTTTAAGCTCATTTTAAGCCAACAAACCCTGCAACAGAAAGTAAGGTCTTGTTGTTATGTCTTTAAATATAGTGGCACTCTACAGGTAGTACGCTGACAGTTAATTGAGAATTAGTAACAGTGAAACAGTTAGAGCTCTAGAACCTTTCAAGAAACAGAGTCTGTTTACCAGTTCCTTCCAAGCAACACATGTTGCTCGGAAAAATACTTTGCCCATACGTGCTCCTTCCGGAGGGAATCCCTGATCTCTTCTTCCAATTAATAAATGACAAAATAATTACGGAAATGTGATGCTCCCTGTGGTTGATAGCAGAGAAAGCGAGGACTGAGCTGTTCTTCGACTGAAAGTAAAACATCAGAACGCCAACAGGTGCCGAGGCCTCTTGAAAAAGGAATTTCCATTCCCTCTCCTAATACTTGTTGTGCACATGACTGCAGTGTGCAGAAGTCTGGTGCTCAGGCGACTGTTTCCTAGAAGGGAGGAATGTGTAGTCCTTGGGAAAGCCAGCCTCACACCGCACCCCCCAAGCCCCTTCTTGTTTTCTTTTAAAAACCACCTACATAACATAGGCAGAGCCAGTGTGAGGTCACACTTCCTGCCTGGTTCCTGCCAGTGGTATTCAAGACAAAGGCAGGGCGAAGATCTCACAGAGTCTCCTGCAAGAGCAGCAGGGGATTTGCAGCCCTCGAGACCAGCTGAATGTATTATGGTCACTACAGGGTGTTTTTCTAAGCCAATGTGTCACCACTATAGCTGCAAGAACATGAGGAAATCTTTCAGTGAAGAAATTCTACTTGCTCATCCTCTTTTTGACATTTAGTTCTGAGTACTGCACAGTCATGCCCTTTATCCAAATCACTTATATTGATAATGCATTGATGCTCTTAAGTTCAAAATGTTACTAAATAACAGGAGCATGATTTTATGCAAAGTCTTATGGTGGTAATGTATCCACCTAGCAAAGTTGGGATTAAAAAAAAAAAAACCTCGATGGGTAGCATTTTAGACTTTATATTTTAGTAGCATCCAAAGAACTTGGTATTGTTTGTGAGTCCCCACACTTCTGTGTTACCGAAGAGATAAAAGAAATATGTGTTCCGGGAACATTGAGGTAGCATTGGGTACTGGAAGGTGTGTGGGTTTTGAAGTCACACAGAATGAGTTTCAAAATCTCTGCTGTATTGGCTATGTGGCCTCAGACTTGTGAATTCAGCTTTTAGAGTTGCAATTTTCTCAACCATAAATATAATACTACATACTTCACAGGATGATTTGAAGAATTAAATGAGAAGAAAGAAGAGGGAAGTCACGAAGTCAACACAAGCCTGCAGGATGCACTCCTTCCGGTTTTCTGCAAGCCCACACCTTGTCTGAGGCCTCTGTGGGGAGGCTGGCAGAAAAGCTGGTTTCAGCCATTGGTTCTCAGGGTCTCTTTAACTTTGAGGTTCTGCTGCATGACAGAGTCTTCTGTAGAACATGACCCAGGCAGCAAAAGCCATCAGCAGGACTCAAATCCTGGTAGGACAGTTCCTGCTTGTACTCTTAACTGGGAAGCAATAATAGTCCTATCAGATGTTTTCTAGGAGCCAGGTCCTATAGTAAGCATTGTACATAAGAGGACTTATTTAAGCTTCATGGCATCCTAGAAAGCAAGTTGAATGATCATCCACTCCAGCTGGAGGTGCAGAGAATGCAGCTCCCTCTCCACACTGCAAAGGGCTGGTATCCAGGCTTGAGGCTCCCCATATCTCTCCTGTACTCAGGCTCTCTCATCTCCTAGTTCAGGTTGGAATCTTTAAACTCCGTATACCCTGTGCCCAGAAGGTCACAGGGTTTCCTTCCGCACCTCCCTCAGCTCTTCATCCAGCACCTCCTTGCTAACTTGATGCTCCTCCTTAGTAGGTTTCAGCTTGCACTATCCCCTGCACTTCATTCCTGGAATGATCAACACATTCTTCACTTAGAACATAAGCTTTAGAAGGCCAGACAACTTTATCATTTTCCCTAATTTCTCTTTTCGCTGTATGAAGAATAGTGCACTCCATGTAATAGGTCATCAATTAGTATTTGTGGAATCAATGAACAAATGAATGGAAATCCATGCAGCTGTGACTTCAGAACCTTTCTTCTTCCTTATGCTAGAATTTGGTGTTTCCAGAAGTACATTCCACAGAATGCTCAGCCCTCTGCTATTAACAGAGCATTCTGTGGGATGTACTTCTAGAAACACTAAGCTCTAGCATACGGAAGTGTATATGGGGAATTTAAGTACAAAAAAAATCCTAGAAAAAATACACTTTTTAAAAACAGACATCTCTATAGGCTTTTAACATGATATTGGGCCTTGTGAACATATATGAGGGGAAAAAAATCTTAGAATTTCTTGAAATTATTTGCCCTGGTGAAACTTTCATTCAGATAATATCTCCCAAGACCTGTGTCCCAGAGCTGTGTTTCAGAGGCTTTCCACATGTTGGGAATAACATAGGATCTTATAGAAGTAAGTAGGCCTCGGGAACTGACTGTCCTTAGGATGCACTGTGGTAGACAGAATGCTTGAGAACACTGGGAAATTCCCATACAGATTGCTGATTTAACTAAGCAATTCTTATACTAACTATAACCAATGAACAAACAGGCTTTTTTACTTAAATTTTTCATGTACTCATGATTTTTTCTCCTACCCCAGATTTCATCTCCCTAGGGAACTTTGTGCTTCATTAGATGGCATACCATTCTGTGTAATGGGTCAGGCCGGAAAATTGGGAGAAATCAGTCCGACTCCCTGTGTAGCTCCTGACTGTGACATGTTCTCCAGCCCCACTGTATTCTCTGGGGCTAATATTCCAAGTGTCTCTTGGCCTCTCTCCAATACATTTTCCAAGACACATCCAGAATGAGTTCTTCACTAGTAATATCTGGACATGCCACTCCTCGGGACTTGCTGTTGCAAAATCATCCCTGTGGCTTATTAGTTTCTGTGAAAATAGTTGTACCTATTTTCCAGTCTCGTACCACATGTCATCTCATCTTCTAGAATTTAAGCAAACTCACTTTCAGCTCTCCCAGCTTATTCTGGAGTAGTTCTACCTCAGGCCCTTGGAACATGGCTGTTTTCTTCATCTCTTCAACTCTTTTCCAAATAGCATTTTCTTGGGCAGTTTCTCTGACTCTCTTAGACCTGGTTATAGATCTCACAGCTCTTTAAGCTTTGCCTTTGGAGCATGCATCACAATTTCAGTTAATGAACCATGTTTTTATTGATATTATTCTCTCCTGCTCCACTGTGAGCTTTGGGGTCATAAGAACCAAGCTTTTATAGTTTGATATTACGGTGTCTACGATTAGCACAGTAGGTACTGTCTTGTGCACAGTAGGTAGTTATTAATATAAAAACAGGATCTTCTGTTGCCTAAATCTGGCCAGGCTCTTTGCCACACATAGCACAGAATTTCATCAGAACCAGAAGGAGATATATGGGCCAAAGCCTGGAAGGGCTAATAATCTGGAAGGAGTTGGCGGCTAACCATTTTATCCCAGCAATTAGGCCACAGTAGAAATCCACCTACAAATCTTAGTGTTTTGTAGCAATAAACTCTTGTTTCCCCACAAGCTGGCTTTGCCATGGGTCAACTTGGCTCTGCTGATTACATGGAGGTGCATGTAGGTCAGATTCTGTGGCAGCTCATGCACATTTTCACCTTTGGCTCACTGCATGGATCGAGCCCAAAGCTCTGTCCCTATTGGATCCCTTCCATTGACTTCAAAAATCCTGGTCCTGGAGTGATCTGACTCTGAAGCAAGATCATCAGCTTCTCCTGAAAGCTTCCCAGGCAAAGGGGGCTGAGGCTTAGATATGGAAAGAGACCAACATGGCTCTCAGTGACAGACAGCTATGCATGTTCTAGCTGGCTCCTTTTCCGTTCCACTTTTCCCTGTTCTCTCCCCTACTTCATGTCCAGGGCATGAGCAACTATCTTGGGACTCCCAGTTTAGCACCCTTTATAAGAAACAGCCAAGCTGGACTCTCTCACCAGAGTCCATAATTGCATGAGGCTTAATCCTATTTTAACATCTGCACATTGTCCTTCATTCCTGGTTCTGCTTCTCTGTGTCAGTCTGGTGAGCACCCTCTGCCCTAGGTTGGCTGCACGTTGGCTGTAGCTGTCCTTTCATTCCAGGAGCAAGGCTGGAGGGTCAGCCTCCATGGGGGCAACCCCTTCTAAACTGAGAGGGAAGAGAAAAAGAGAGCTGGCCGAAGCACTAATGGCATTTAAAATGTTTATTTTTTATTTATTTATTTTGATACTGGGGATTGAGTCCAGGGGTGCATCACCACTGAGCCACATCCCAGCCCTTTTAATTTTTATTTTGAGAAAAGGATCTCAATAATTTGCTCAGGGCCTCGCTAAATTGCTAAGGCTGGCATCAAGCTTTCGACCAATCATCCTGCCTCAGCCTCCTGAGTCCCTGGGATCACAGATGTATGCCACCACTCCCAGAACTGTCCTCTGAAATTTCCACTCATGTGTCATTGGTCAAAGAATGTTGCATGGCCAGGTTGTGGGTCATTGGGATAGAGAAGTATACTCCACCAATGGAGTGTCACTAGGCAACATTGTGGGAAATAATACAAAGGGAAACAGGAAGGAGGGAAAAAGTGGGAATCATTGTCTAATTTATTACCTTATTAAATTTAGTCTATTTGTTTTAGCAAATTTAGTCCTCCACTTTAGGGACAAATATTTACATCTCTTTCTTTGACTTAAAAATATGTATTTCCTGCTTCTCCCTAAAGGATACCCCAAAATCCCATTTGGTCAAGGCAGTATACTTCAAGTCCAGGATTTTATAATGATCCCTACATCAGTGTGGTTCCTCTTGAAATGAAGACTTCTGAACCATTCCCCACCCCCCTCTGCCCACACTCAATACTGGGAGAATAGAATAACATCCACCAAAGCTCTCCTACTTAGAAAGGTGAGTGATGGTGGTCATCCAGGAATAGCGCACATGTGGGTGCTGTACAGGCCCTGGACCCGAGTGGGGGATGTTCCCTGATGCAGGCTCTGGTTCTGCAGCTCAGGAAATCATCTGTGGTTCTTTTCTCTACCCTCTGGAAAGAAAAAGTGCTCCTTTTTCATTGCTTTCATCAATCTCCTCCAAAGATTAGAGAATATGACTTCCCTGGGTAATGTTTTCAACTTGTACAGGTTGGCAAATGGAAAATTATTTAGAAGTTTCAATCACCTTGAAACCAAGTTAGCACCCCTTTAGTTGTGCATTTCATTAAAAACACATTGAGCATTTTTTTTTCCTATTTTATCCCAGCAAGTGTCCTATGCCTATATCCATTCCATACCTGTAATTCTTTTGAGACCTACTTACCTTTTTTGTGTGTGTGCTGGGGATTGAACCCAGAGGCACTTTACAAATGATCTACACCCCCAGACCTTGCTTTATTGTATATTTTGAGACAGGTTCTTGCTAAATTGCTCAGGTACATCACTAAATTGCCGAGTCCTACTTCACATTTGTGATCCTCCTGCCTAAGCCTCCCAAATTGCTGGGATTAAAGGTGTACACCACCTCTCCAGGCAACCTCTTTCTTTTCACTTGCTGGCACTTTGAACTTATCAGGTTACCCATTTCTTG